TTCAGGGCTTCAGACAGACTGGGGTCACCGTAAACAGACCAAGAAGTGGACGTCCACGCATCACAACGCCAGATGAAGATAGGTACCTGCGTCATTCAGGAAGCAGGGTAACGTTTCTTTTGGCGTTTAGTGTATATATATATCCATCTTAAATATGTGGCTTCTATATGGTTACATAATCCCTATCTTAAGAATCATTGGTACCAGATGTAGTAATATTAAGAAAGCGATAGTTCACGACGATTGATAAAATATGTTTTGTGTCGGGTGTTTTATGCCTTTGAAGATTTTCCTTTTCCTACACTATTTTCATGTAGGGTAACACTGTTAAGTTCTTAAGATAAGCAACGGGCAAGATGCAAATAGATCTCCCGTGGGCTAAACGTCGACAGAAGTTTTCTCAGGTTGACTGTTTTAGAATTCAGCATACCCTAATTTTAGAAGTCTTTTTTATAGTTCTAATAACTACACATGAATCATGTTACTGAGATTGTTTTGTGAAACAGGGTCCAGCTTAATACCTATGCGCTCTTTAACAGACAAACCGTACTGCAAACGTGTAGCATTCATTTTTGTAATAGATATCGCAGTACACACTGTGCATACAAAGACTGCTTTGTTGTAGAGCTCGTCGGTAGCCGATACGCTTTTTCCCAAAGAAATGTCTTCATACAAATATGTGTAAGCACGTACAAAAAACAGTATGATTTTATAAAGGAAACATAATACCTTTTGAAATGTCACATCACATTCTGTCTCGTAAAATGTTTGAATGATAAATGAAAGCTAGACAATGATGTTAGTCGCCCTAAGATAGGGGGGGGGGGGGGAGATTTGTGTGTGGAAATTTTCATGAAAGTAAAATAACTTATACAATTTTTTAAAATGTTTCATCGGATACATCATGTAATTAATATGCATGACGATTTGATCACGGAAAAGACTTGTACAGGTGTACCTGCGAATCTATTAATAAAACCTTGTCCACATGCATTAATCCGCAGAAAATCAGCACTGATATTGCAAAGAACTACCATAAGTTAACAATGCTTTACAAGTTAGCATAGAGTTCCGGCGATTCTAGTCGTCTTTGAGCAAACTCAAATGTGATGTGATAACCAAGACATTGACAGAACTTAAATGATGAACGAATGCAAATTATATGTCTGAGTTAAAGTTTGAGTGTATTATAACATGACCAATTTTCAACATATACATTATTATCAGATGAAACGACATGAGATACAGAAGGGTACTGAAATACGTGTAATAACCTCCACAATGCTAATGATATGACAGTAGTTTCACAAACCCTTCAATATTATACGTTGATGTCTCTTCAGATCAGAAAATACTGAGCAACATGCAACTACCAATAAAAACTGTTCACTGGTATTGTGTCTGACTGTATACGTTTTATATGGTTTTAGGTAATTCTGTGTTTGTGACATTATGCATGCCTCAACCGCCGTTTGCACAGAATTGCTTATGGTGAAGAAACGAACTGTGACGCTAATTAAGCAAGTACTTAATCAGATTTGCTCACATATATGTTATGGAGATTTGAAAGTTCTGACCTTATATATTTTATCATTCAGATGCTTCATAGATGATAGTAATATTGATGTGTGGAGCTTCAGAGACCAGGGTGCCGTTCCACTAACCGATCTTAACTAAGATCAATCTTAGCAAGTTACGCCAATTTTACAATCGTCTTAGCTAAAAGTTACATCCGTTCCACGACCCGATCTTAGGCCGATCGTAGCCGGTCCCAATCTTACGATCCGATCCAAGCTTAGATCGAGACTCTTTCGTTAGAGAGATAGAGGAATGCGAGGCACGAGTTATCTCCCTTTGCATAGTCTAGCAAATGATGGAAGTAGTTTACGAACCAACTGAGTGAGTGAGTGAGTTTAGATTTACGCCGCACTCAGCAATAGTCCAGCTATATGGCGGCGGTCTGTAAATAATCTAGCTAAGATGCATAGCGTTCACTAACATGAGCTTTCATGTTAGTGAACGCTATGTATCTTAGCTATAAATAATCGAGTCTGGACCAGACAATACAGTGATCAACAGCATGAGCATCGATCTGCGCATTTGGGAACCGATGACATGTGTCAACCAAGTCAGCGAGCCTGACTACCTGATCCCATTAGTGGCCTCTTACGACAAGCATGGGTTTGTTATAAGGCGAAAATGCATCCGTTATTCAAGAAACGTATCACAAATCCATTATTGAGAATTACGATTATTTAGTCATAGAATCAATGCTGCTACTGCTTGGTAATAAACTAAGGAATAGAGAACAGGATAACTGTCAGTAACAGAACAGAAAAGACTCTTAAAAGTAGCAATTAACGGTGAGTGACCGATGAGTTTACAGTAATTCTCTGATCACGAGGTACGACATGAGACCATGGAATGATGTAACTTTAAACGAATCAGAGGGATTGTATTTGGTCATGTGACAAGGGTGGAGCAGGCTCGAACACCTTAAAAAGATGGGTTAGCACTAGAAAGTGTTGCGGGTTACAAAGTCAGCAGAACATTCGCATCGCGATCGATCAGTTCCATATCTGGTGAGGAGCTTGCCCTATCATGTCCTGACCACGTCACTTTGTAATGACGAGAGAGATCGAGTAAACCTATGTGAGTATAGAACCTAGTGTTGAGTTATTCCTTGTAATGCCAGAGTGCCAGTACATGAATTTAATGTTGTAGTTAGGAGTCTCGGTCGTCAGACCTCTCACTCCTAAACGTAGAAGCCCCGGACGGACCAAGCGAGTATGTAACCTGAGCTGACATCACCCCTGACAATGCGGAACGGCCATCTTAATAGGTAGCTGGTAGTAGGGTTTACTAACACCCAAATCCCGGTTACGACAGGTTATTGAAGTTCAATATTCTAACCCGGTCCTTCATGGGTATTTTTTCCAACCAAGTGTAAACGTGGAGAAAAAACCTAGAGCAAAATATTAGGGTAGTGAGCACCTTGGTTTCAGGTGCAAGTGCGTGTGAACGCTGGGTATCAGGCATAATATAATAATAATAAAATTGCATATTTATAGTGCGCCTATTCCACATCCTGGGGCATGCTCAAAGCGCTATGTACAGATAATTTACACGAGAGTATTTACAGCCGAGATTATAAGTCATATACTGAGAACAGGTTTTAAGTCTGAACTTTAAAAATGTCAATTGTGTCAGAGCTTTTAATATGTGCCTGAACCTTGTCAATCAGAATTTAACAAGCCGTGAGGAGGCTATAACGTATGTAGAATCTGTCAGTGGTCTTGAATAACACGCGGCCTGCCTTTAGAATCCCCCACCAAATATGCGCAGTGAAATCAAACATATTTGTATCTTTTTGCTTCTGAACATTGTTCACTTTACGACCCATCCCTATTCTTAACCATGACGTTGCAATATTGTTGTACAAATGTGTTACACCGACTCGCTCGGTTGTGTTCTCATGACGACAGTGGTCAGACTGGCCTGACATTTGTAAGGCTTCACTGCAGTGTTTGTTTACATCACAGAAATATACAAATTCAATTCATGGGGGATTTTAGGGGACGCTCACGGTGAAATGCTCGCTCTTATTTTTCACATAGAATAGGAAAGCCACTATTTTGCTTTCTCTACGATTGATTTTAGCTATCCTAAGTTGGTCATGAGCAACTTAGACTTTGAATCTTAACTTTACGATTGACTTAGGTAAGATTGGTTAGTGGAACGGTATCCCGATCGTAACGTCACGCTATGATTGGGATTTTAGGCGTAGGGCTAAGATCGGTTAGTGGAACGGCGCCCAGTACATTTGTACACGTCAATCAGAAAGAAGTACATATTGTTTGGTACAGAAATAGACTGATGTGAACTGTTCTTACTGTGAAACGATTGTGCAGGAACCTCGTTCTGGGTCACTCATCCATGTAAGTAAGCTGTCAATCAACAGAGTGACACTTGAATCATGTGTTCTTCCGGTCACATGATAGTGTTGAATTGCTGAGGTGACGTCAGCACCCTGAAACACAGTTTTTTAAAAAGCATAAATAAACCGAAAATTAATTTTAGCCATTTTCTAGCACGATAACATCGAGGGACAAATTTCTAGGATATTGAGTCTTCTAGACAAGTAAAAAAACTTCTTTGAGAGGCCTTTGGAAGTTGAAGCAGTAAGGAAAGATACCAATATATGAATGAACAACTTCTATATTACAGTGAGAGCGAAGTTTCGGTGTAGGTTCTTTCACCGTTATCAAGCTAAATTACCTCCACCCGGGATAACTAGGTCCATTTGTGTGACTAGAGAGTGCTTGAACAATTAGGTTACCCCATCAATAGTAAGATGATGTGTTGGTAATATGTTTGATGCCGAAAAGGTTCCGAACAAAGTTTCCCAAATTGAATCCGTTTTTAAATCATATGCTGTACAAACAGGAAAATACGCTGGGATTCCACATGTTGCTGTGTACAGTGTGACATCAGAGGGGAACAAATGTCATTCTTATGTTTTGAACATTACAAGTCCAGTACTATATTGCTCTCACACTGTTTGACCATGGATGAAGGTTATGACTGCTGTCAAAACATCCTGCCCTCATTGCATCCTCTTGTCAATGAAAGGTAAGCGTGAATTGTAACATATATGTCATCAATACCTTACATTTACTTTGAGATCAATAGTGTTCAGGATAACATCATTAGATATAACTTTAGACGTTTGCAGGCTTGCTGTCAGCCTTGACATGGAGACAGGACTGTCCATCGACGGGAGGAAGATCTGCAAGCCAAACGGTGTTGACATAAGTGACTTTTGCTTTCAAGGTCGTTAATATTTGAGAGAACATTTTGGATTGTAGAATTAGTAACCACCGATAGTCGACTTTTTAAGTAAGAAAGATCATCAGAAATAAGATAGTGTTTATTTTACAACCACATATTATCACCATAGCAATTGTTTTCCTAAATATTTTAGAACAGTTCCTACCCTTGGTTTCTGTTGCCAACGTGATCAAGGTGCGCGAATCGCTGTTATACATCTGATTCCATAGTTCCTCTTTGTCTGGTTGTGACGTTATTATGAAGAAGCCGTTCCTTGATGTGTAGGACTGCAGTGAAATGCAATCTATTACACATACATCTATGTTAACTGTGTATATCATCCTGATCCACATAAATACTGTGACCAGGCATTTATCAACGAAGATGAGGGATAGCTACGGTAAACACAATATGCTACGTCAAACATAATGATCAAACGTTTAAGTCATTCAGTGAGAAAATTAGAAATGTTAAGATGTTCGACCTGATAAGCATATCAGCAACCCAACCTTTAATCTGCCATATTAAGAGGGCCTTTGCAGAAAGTATTACACTTAATATTATGTGACAAGGATATCAATAAGTTAACCTTTATTCAGCCATATTGAGAAGTACATTGAAGAATGTATCAAACTTACTGCCACCGTGATGATATGATCTTCAAGAAGACCTCCTGAAAATGAACAGTAAGTTTAGTACAGTTTAACTGCAAACTGCCTTTTTTAGTGAGTGAGTGAGTGTTTGTGCAGTTTTAGAATGTGAAACATGAACAGGGCTCCTGCTCGATATGCATTCAATTGCGTTCCATTAAAAGTCATTTTCTAGGTTACTGATTGAAGGCGAAAATACAATTTCCATGTTCAACAGACATCCCTGCTAAATGTATGCACGAGGATTGTTTTAAATCGTTATCATCCTGCCCAACGGTAGCACACATAACAAACACGTGGAATAGCAGGTTGATTCTTTACCTGGAAAACATGGGAACTCCTGACACAAGTGAAGATGGGAGTTGTAACAGACATAATCGTGTTGCTTATGCCACAGGTTACCCCAGGTGTTTACCATAAATAGTTTTATTGCTTGCTGAAGCCTTGATTGTTCTAACCTTGACCAAACAACTTTAAGCAACATATGAATCACGCAGGTAAAATCTGCTGGAATATTTCTCGTCACAAAGGGAAAGCTGACTTTTGAAAACCCGTATGACAAACAGTCCTTAGTGGGAGCTTTTGTCACTCTGAATCCTTATGCTTATATCTGACTTGTAAACCGAAGAGTCGACGTTGCATCTGTTTTCTCTGGATTGGGTGACTAAACAGATGACATGTAAACGCCGTTCTGGTAACGTTAAGGCTTGGCTGGATCATACCACTGAGTCAGTTAAGCCCACCCGCAAAGTTGAACTAACTGAAGCTCTGAAAACACCGGAACGTCTGTTCAATAATCTCAAGTCTGCCGGCGAGGTGATACTAAACCAGGGAAACGAGCATTAAACTTACGTTCGGGAGTATTTTCCATAGCCTGAAAAAGAAGCAAATAACACATTCATCCACTATGAAAACATGTTTTATACCTTCTTATACCAACATACTTATGGTGGTTGTTTCATCATGGTTACAACTGTAATACTGTTAGTGTTAGAATAAATAATTCTTTCATATTTCTTAATAGTTTTATGGACATTCATACCGTTGGGTTTACTTACCTCCAGGTGTTCCTGTACGTTCCTGTTGCCCATGGTAACGGAAGACACATGACTGGGATCTATCTGTCTGATGGCGTCAGCGTCCAGTGATGTGTCCCCCTCTGCCACAGCCATAGCCACGGCCTGGTACAGGAACAGGTACTGCTCCTGGTGTTAGACAATGAGAACGTGATATCAGGAGACCAGTATAGATAACATGTAAACCACATAGGGTGTTGGTGGTGTACTCACCTTGGTCTGTATCATGTTCTTCCTTTGGCCTCTCATGTTGGAGACGAAGCTGACAACGTCCACAAAGCCTTCTGCCGCCGCCTGATCCACAAGACTCTCTACAGCAATGAACGTCCCTGTCCGGCCTATACCAGCACTAGAGAAGAAGAACCAGTATAAATAACACGCTATTCCTCATTTACAATAGACCCGAGAAGGTCCGGGTTAGAATGAACCTTCAGTAACCCATGCTTGTCGTAAGAGGCGACCAACGGGATCGGGTGGTCAGGCACCCGGACCTGGTTGACACATGTCATCGGTGCCCAATTGCGCAGATCGATGCTCATGCTGTTGATCATTAGATTGCCTGATCCAGACTCGATTATTTACAGACCGCTGCCACATAGCTGGAATATTGCTGAGTGCTGCGTCAAACTAAACTCACTCACTCACTCATTTACACTAATTTCTACTTCAAATTCCTTATGTACAATCTGTGGCTAGCCCACATTAAATATTTTCATATAATCTACGGCTTCCGAAACATAAAAATATAAATGAACATGGAAATTTTTGCTGCGTCATTTTATTTACATCAGTTTATTTTCGTTTCCGTCCGTGTCGACCCGTGTCCCCATGCCCATCGCAGTAAAACTCTAACCTGCAGTGGACTATGATAGGTTGTGTTTGATGTCTTGTGGTGGCCTTGACCCTCCACATAAATTCCAGCAAGGCGGAAGTGTCTGGTACACCATGGTCAGGCCAACTTGTGAAGTGAAAGTGGTGAACGTGATGTGTCTTTCCTTCCTGATATTAGAATTAAATGCATTATATATATATATATATATCTGTTGAATATAACATTGGTCACAGATTACAATATATACATTTTTCGAGAAGAATTGTATTTATTGACCAAAAACTATACCGATTTATTGTGAACAGACAGTTTTGTGACTGTGTAGTTTGCAAGCTGAGTTTCTGTCTCCTTGGTAACTGAAATGTCGCCGCAAATACTGAAGACACTTCACCTGTTTAAATATTACAAGATTTAAACACATGTTATAAAAATATCAACACGAAACACTAAAACGGTTGTCATTTCGTGTGTCAGATTTCTTTTCTTGGTATCATTACAGATACGTATGGCTTTGAGTCTCTTGTATCAACCTTTCTTCTTTTAACATGATTGTCCAGTTTTCGCTGAACATTCAATACCTTTGGGAGGGAAACAAGTTGAATATGTGGAAGATGTTGTGGAAGATGCTATATGCATGTGTGTGTGTGTGTGTGTGTGTGTGTGTTACCTTCCCTGCCTCTACAAGTCCCGTCACCATGACGATTGTTGTAGATTGCTCCTGACAGATCATTCTCCAGAAATCCACCACTACTTCCGGTCTGTAGGGACCTTATGAGAACATGAATATGACATGAAACTTCATTAATTATAATCCAGATGTATTAAGAGAAATAAATAACACGTTAAAATAGAACCCAATTCCTATATCAGTGGTCACACAGAGAGTTACAACTTTATCAGATGGTCTTTCTACTTGGTTTCATTCTTCAAAGTTTGTTCTGCTCTACATCAAAAGCAGTTTAACGCAATTACCAGCATTTTGTATTTTCAACAGTTCAGTTTGGTGAAATAGCTGCGTTTTGGAAGTATGAATTAGTTGCTCAAACAAATTTTCGTAAGTCCGTTCTTTACGTCTGTGTTCCTGTTTCCATTGTGCTGTCATGATAAGATCATGCGTACAAGAAAGCAAACTAATTGGCCACTTTTTTCAAAAGCATAAAGACCAAAGGCGTAAATTCTCAAAACGGAGAGATCCCGAATTGGAAATACACCTGTAACTCAACATTACGTCATTTGTAACTCAACATAACGTCATTATCAATACATGAATTGAAAATTGCATTTTGAATGGCTTAGGCCTTTGTTTCTTGTTTTCCGTGGGTGAGCAATTATATACGATATCCACTTTCTTTTGATCACAGTTTTAGTAACTGTTTGTGTGTGCGAAACCTTACCTTGTGCTGCTATATAACGCTTTTCTGCTTTATATCCCTGAAAATAATTTACAAACATATGTATTATTTACATAAATATAAATCGTCACTGCCAACAAAAGTACTGCGGACCGCTTGTCAATTTATGCAATAACCCCAGGCAACTGATTTAAACAATTTATTGCTGTTAATTTATGTCTAAATATAATACTGATAAAGTGAATAGGCAAGTCTGTACCAGATAATCCAGTGATACCTTTCATGATCAAAGATCAAAGAAATTGGGAGACGATGACATGCAATCCACAAAGTCTAAAGTCGGACCAGTCGATCAACTCAGTCGCGGTTTACGACAGGCACGTATTACAGGGAGTGTATGTCCTTACTCGAAATATCAATGGGCTTCCACGCAATGAACCCAATAAGTATAATATCAAGTCATACATAGGATGACTTAACTATATAACTACAAGGCTCAGAGAGTACAATTAAGTTGTCTTCTAAAGACTTGTACAGTGTCGTTATAAGAGTGAACGGATCATTGTGTAGTCATGCTCAGTGTGTTTGTCTGACAATCGTTGCTCAACTCACATCGAGGTAGCTGGCGTTGATGTAGTCTTTGTCTTTGACTTCACTGACGCCGTGCAGCACCACGCGGTTGTAATCATCTGTGAAAAAAATCGCAGTAAGGAGTACATGGTCGATTTAGAGAGTGAGTGAATGAATTGGGTTTTACGTCGCTTTTTGCAATATTCCAGGAATATCACGGCGGAGGACACCAGAAAATGGGCTTCACACATTGTACCCATCGACTGACATGTGAAATGACATGATGAAACGCAGCTGGCTAAGACGTGGCTGGTCTCAGGTCAATGCTGACCTTGGAGTTAACTTAATATCATCTACAAGATGTACTCACATGGGTAATAGCCTTTGAACCTGTTCTTCCCTTTGTTTTTAGGTTGTTGAGATTCATCATAGGAGTGTACATAACCATCAGGAAGTCGCTGAAAAGGAACACATGTGACACACACTGGATATATATAGTAAAGAATTGTATTATTCTAAAATGATTATTGTCACAGCCAATGTATGTGCTATTATATATCCAAACTGAAACATGTAAGATAGACACAAATGGTGTTAAGTGCGATTCCCAAATGTTATGGTAGAGTTGGTTTGTCATCATTCTCTGGTCACAGTCAAGCATGGAAAAAAATGGATACGATATGTGTGCCAGATATTGTGTTTCTTACAGACACAATTCACCCCCGTCAAAAAGCCGATGTGAATATAAATCGTAACTCACACGTTCACACCCTCACTCACTCTCGGACCGGTGCATGACACTTTGTGTTTACCATAAATTCCCCCTCAGCACTTGCTGGAGTCATTTCTTCCACTTTTGCCTGTAATTCTGACACAGGAATCACGTGATTACCTCCATTGCCGTCCAGGTTGTAGTAGTTTCTGTCAGGGACCTCAGGTGTGTCTTCAACCTGTTCACGCTGGTCAGACACGTCATAATCCTCTTCCTCCTCCACTTTCTGGAGGTCAAGGTCACCTCTTCCGCTTTTACCAGTATCATTGTTTCCAGTCGTAGATACAGCTTCCCCTGCTGAATCGCCTTGGGATTTATTCTGCTTACGAACCTGTATTTGTTTAGTTGATGTCTTCTCTGAAGACATCGTTGGTTTCTCGTCGTTATCAAAACCGACATTCATGTACATACCAATGTCTTCCGCTACAGGAAATAAAAAGAACACACATTACTTCACAACTAAGGTACGTAATACAGAGTCGTTATCATGGACAGAAGTAGGGATGATATGTCCAGAAGTTACTGGACCTCTGAAGAAGCAGATCCATGTCAGTCCAGGTTCATCATGCATCATTATTATTATTATTGAGTATCGTTTACGTATGTTACAGCCTCTGTATATTGCATCAGACAAAAATAATTTAGCATAAAGTAAGCAAACCAGAGACGAATCTACCTTGTGTTGGTTTCACGTTATCAGCAACCACTGGCTTGTGTGTGGAGCGTCCATGACTTTTCCCCCGTCTTCTTCTAAATGTAAGGACACACATTAAAATACAGCTTGAATAGAACAAGGGCTCGTCATTTGGTAATAAATATGGACTGATTCATTGCCTTTGAAGACATTACAGGGATTTGAATTGATGTAAAAAAGAGCCGATCAGAATCACTGCAAGGACCAGCAGAAGTATCACCACCACGCCGACTACAGCTCCCACTACAGCAACGATTGGAAAAGAGCCGGTTTTAGGCTGTTGACTTGGGGTATGTGTGACAACTTTCTCTGGATATAGAAAGGAAAAGATTACAATCAACGTGAGCACACGTCTCTCATCACATAAACGTGCTTACTGAAATAATCTTTGTCATTTTAGAAGCCTTTGTATCAAAAGCATATCCATGATGTCATACCAACAATGCATCTGTCATAAATTGAAGGAAAGTTTCTTTCTTCGGCAGATTACTGTTGTTAGAACTGACATATACATGAAGAAGTCACTTGGGTATCCTGTTTCACAACTGCTGTAGAAACATGAAATCTTGTTGTATGTGATGTTACCCTCACACCCTGTAATTTGGCTTTGACAGTCAAACTGTTAATCAGATACATAACGATACCATGTTTATAGCAGACCTGATTGTTTCATTTTGTTCACATAATTGTATATTTCCATGGGTAAGTCTGAGTGTACGACTCTGTATAGGCGATTGGAAGTGTCCTACATTGTCGTACTCTGACCATATTTTGAAAGCCTGAAGTCCGACTTGAAATGACTGTTTTAACCTGTGTCCAATCCGCTGCGTCCCATCCCACTGACATTACATGGAGTTTAGTATTAAACAACAGCCACATCATATCTATATTACTCTGTCACAACAACAGCCTCGTGACAAGCTCATCTCCTGATAAAGCAGTAGCTTATGAAGAGTCATCTCATCTCCCCCGGGGCGGTGGGGTAGCCTAGTGGTTAAAGCGTTGGCTCGTCACGCCGAAGGCCCGGGGTTCGATTCCCCACATGGGCACAATGTGTTAAGCCCATTTCTGGTGTCCCCCGCCATGATATTGCTGGAATATTGCTAAAAGCGGCGTAAAACTAAACTCAGTCAGTCAGTCAGTCTCATCTCCCCCCGTCTCCATTGTAACCTGCCCGTTGCCTTGCACCCCACATTGACATCTTGTCATTACCTGTACAGTCATCCCGTGTCCAGCCTGCTTCACATCCACCAACACAGATCCCTGCTGCGTTACAGGGAGAGTTCTTCAGACAGTGTCTAGAGCTGCAGTTTATGTTGCACTCGATCCCATAATGTTGGGCATCACATTCTGGAATAAGATTATTATACAAGTCATATTTCTTTCCACCTCTTTAAGTGAGACATACATGTGTGTTACGCATTACATCTCTATCATCACATTCATTCTTGAGGCGACACGTGCACATCTGAATACATCTAAATGTAATTCTTGATGCCATGATTTGGTAGCTATAGCTGATATTCTGCAGTCATCCACGGGTCGTGTAAGGACAAACATTGCTCAATATTGAAATAAATATCTAATCATTTAAACTGAGACACAGTTATCTTGGAAATCTTAATCATGTACTCACGTGCCCACGTTTGTTCGATTAGTGGCAGTAAAATGATGGATACTCTTTTTTCCTACCACCATCACTCAGTCAGGTCAGTAATTTAACAATTCGATCAATATCATCTATGTGATTTTCTTCCTTCCTCAGCGAATTAAATTCTGCTTGGCTTATTTAGAACATTTACGTTTGCCACTTACTCTTACAAAATTACTTCGACACCGTATGCACTTTCTCCTCAGTCTGGCGGAAGTATTTAACAAAGTTTGCCATTGTCATGTTTCACATGACCTGTACATATTAGGAAAGTTATTCAAGTGGAAAATGCCTATGCTCCCAGACAGCGTCTCAATCAGTTATACTAACTGCCAACCACGCTAGTGACCCTCATAAGTGACATTACCTGTACAGTCTGCCTGTGTCCACCCTGTCAGACATCCACTGTCACAGGTCCCTGTTGAGTTACAGGAAGAGTTTCCCTCACAGTTCCTGGAGGAGCATACCCCAAGACAGTTGGATCCATAATGTTTGGAATGACATTCTGGAATATGTTAGTAGTGATTACATACAGGTGAATGCTAACTAACAGTTATACAGGATACTAGTAATGTACATAAAGCCAGAGTGATTTTAAGCATGTGTAAACAATAAATAGGGGATTGTAAGATGAAAGTGAATATAATATACAAAAGCAGATATGGTGTGTTACAGTGGATTAAGTTGGTAAGTGATAGAAGCCAACGAGTCTAATTGGTGTACAGAAGGGTGGCTGATAATCTAATGATATACAAAGCTGGGGTAAGATTCAAAAGGCAAGGTTGATGCTGTTACAGTGGATTAAGAGGTGATTGGTGAAGATAAAGGAAAGTAACATTAGTGTTTTAAAGCTTCCCAGGTAAGTGTGTGAAACGAGTTCTGCGGTGATGTCGATCCACCACTTAACATTCCCCTAGAAACGAGGCCAAAGTGAGTCTTGTTATTCCCTCGCATCAATTATGACTAACCTGAAGTCACAGTCAACAATTGGGCGAGTATACCTTGGCCCGTATACGTATCTACACTCTCCAGTACCACTGACTGGAACCCACCTATCCTGACAGTACAAACGTCTCACCTGTATCACATCTCTGACCCTGCCACCCTGGTCTACAGTCTCCAGGACATAATCCAGTCAAGCGAGCACATGTTGAATTCAGGCAGTGACAGAACGTATTGCACATTGCTCCATAGATTCCTAGGCTGCAAGCTGGTGCATTATTAAGAGAAGATAAGTACATAAAGACAAGAATGGAAATTGTGGATATATCGAATGGATGAACATTATACTACTTTTACTTATTTGATTTGTTACAGTTATGGTTCTATCTTCAGTATGTCACGACTATCATCCGCCATTTTCAGTATTTTGCCCATCAATATTTCTCAATAATAATACCAACAAATGCAACGTAGTTCATATCATAGTCACTGCCATTTGTCAAGTTTTTGTGCAATGTGCTTCACAGCTATTGGACAAAAGGAATATGAAAACAATGGGTTTTTATTCGCAATCAGATAATTGACGCATTGATGCTCAAGAAACAACACCATGTTTAGCCTTAAAGATACAGTCTAGATATGTTACTGAATGGGTGGCGCTAAATGGTCAAGTGCATCATTCTACAGAACCAGAACCAGAGTTTCCATAAACAAATTAGCAATTGTCAACGTGACATCCAAATAGATAATCATATATAAAACATAATGGGAGAATGGAGTCATGTCTGTCTGTTTGGTAATGCAAATGTTGAAAACATGTGGATTTTGTCAAATAGTCAGCTCCAGAGAATATTAAACAGTCTCGATCATCAGACGAAACAGACTCCATTAGGGCAAAATGGAAATTGACACTCACAATTTCAAAACACTACATAAACCTCCGAAGATCAGTGATGACATCAGATATAGGTGAAAGGGGTAAGCATATCCTACTTTTACCGCCTGCATCCATCACTCGAAATCTATCTCTTGTGAAGAATGCAGCGACTAACAAAACAGTGAACCAGATGGCTGAACCTACCGGAAAACCTAGATAATTGTTCAGTATTAACATCTGCTGTTTATTTCAAATAATATGTACCTTATATAGACTTCTTAACGACAAGGTGTCTTAACAAGATCCTGATACAGAATACTGAATTAGCCTTGTCTCGCCAGATACCAAAAGCATTAACTCATTCCATAACATTATTATTGCTTTATTGCAAGTATATTATGACATCCGTCACGTTAGCTATTAATGCATTTTGTCGACTAGAAACGGACGCGTCAGTATACCCACTCCCGTTAGCCACTTATACCGAAATGGATATGCCCAGTCAACACTGTCACACTTTCACAGTGTTTGATAATGCTTCTTAAATGCTGAGAGAAAATTCGGACACAAACCTTACAAAACCTCGGATATTGCTGTGAAAGTACAAAGAAACACATGTGTATCATTAGCACACGAATGGAGAATCAGTTGTAAATACAATAAATGACTTACCATAGATCTCCACCTCACAGATGTTCAGTGCACTAGCATAGCCATCGCTTCCTCCAGTTCCCGGGTTCCTGATGGTGACGTATCTGCCGGTACCGTTACACGTCACGTCAGTTGGGTTGGGGGTATCTGGTGGACTCGGGAGGGTGGAGCAGATGTTGGAGGTGTCGTTGTTCAGATAGATGTTGGAGTTGGCATTTCTCCAGTAGACTTGAGTAAAACATATACTGTTTCAGACTACGTTACACTATAATACTGTGTCAGCTTCATTATCAGATCACAAAACTATGTTCATGCAATGGACTAATGACGTAATTGAGAGGTGGCATCCAGTCAAACAATATATGCATTAGAGCAGAAGATGTTTGGAATAATTACATAAAAACTCGTTCATTTGCAAACAGAAACATCACACTGAAGCTCAAGAATCATCTGGATGCACATGTTATGCACTGAACCAGATTATACAGTCAACAGTAAAAATTCTTAGCATCAAATTTGTTAATACGTTATTCTAACAATAAGAGCCACTACTGCTGTTATTGTTATAAGTTCCCTTACATCAGCGGAATGGCCATGTTTTCTTTCAATATGTAAATCACTTATATAACAGAATAGCTATAACTAAGTCTAGTTTTCACTCGTTGAGGTATATTAGGTAATCAGACAGCACTGTTATTGCTATAGGTTGATCACCAGCGTATAAGGAACATATCCCTCGTCAGATAGAGCAATACCAGCCACTTGCACATATCTGAGTGTCCGTCTCTATTTTGTTCACCACATAGTTGTTGTATAGAACCTTGAGGTGGAGTGTTTAAATAGGTTGATATATATGTTGTCAGCAGAACATTTGTTAAAAGATTACGTAATTGCTCACATGGTGTTGGTTTGTGAAGTTACTTTTTCATGTGTTTGATTACTGTAATGATGAACTAGACTTCAGCAGAGTGTCTAAGGTGAGTCTAAGGTGATACATAACAATCTAAATAGCATCGTTCTTTCTTGGAGCGCCGTTGTGAATAATTCAATTGTATATATATATATATATATATATACATATATATATATATATAGTTCCCGATGCCTGGATACCTACGTGGGCTTCTACTGTAGATCCTGATGTCATACAGCTGGAAGTCCCGGCCCAGATCCACTGTCCAGTCTGACGGAGATCCAGCAGCGTGGAAACAGGTTTTACCCTCACCCTTTATGTCACTGTCTCCAACCACAGCCTTTGACGGGTACCAGTCTGTGTACACTCCAGATGTTGTTGATGCTCTTGTTCAGTGCAATATTTTCTGTAAAGTACAATAATCATGTAACGTCACTGCCCCATCTATAGTCTGACGGGTACCAGTCTCCACACACTACAGATGTTGTTGATGCTGTCTTCTTCTGTGGACAATACGCATGCCCTCATAAAATCCATACACATACCAGTATGAGGTAATGGTGAAAAGGTTACGTTTACATGTATAGTGACAGTTTAGTTATGGGGAGATCCTAGTTCATATTTTTATGTCAGCCACAACCCTACAACCTATCTGTTGTATTACAAATATTTTATACGGTGTTAAGGGATCATCATGCAATTCATAATGATTCGTAACAAGAGGCTGTTTTCACACCGACCAGAGCAGGATATTCAACACAGCCATAGGAAAGCATTAAATATATATGTCACTCACGTTTCTGGCAAAGACCCCCTTCCTTTCTCCATCCCGGATCACAAGAACCAGAACAGGCACCTGTAGTCTCGTCACATGATGTCCCGCAGTGACAGGAGTAGCTACAGGAGTCTCCAAATCTTCCTGGTTGACAGGAACCTGTAGGGAGATACAGAGGTGTGATATTCAAATACAAAGTTCTAGTCTCTGACGATTGAGCGTCCGTTTATCATCAACTTCAGTGGCTGGTTGGTTTGTTGTGTAACGCCGCATTGAACATTATTTCAGCTATATCGTCGCGGTCTGTACATTATCGAGTCATGACCACACTATCCAGTCATCAACAGCATGGACATCGATCTACACAATTGGGATACGATGACATGTGTCAAGTAAGTCAGCGAGCCTGACCACCTGAGTCGCCTCTTACGACAAGCATGGGTTACTGAAGACCAATTCTAACCCGGATCTTCACGGGTATCAACTTGTGTGAGTGAGTGAGTTAAGGGTTTAAGTCACATCCTCTATATTTAAACCATATTATGACTAAATCAAATTATAGAATTAAAATAATTAAAAGTAAATCATAAAAACCTGTCAACTAAAGACAGGAAAACAACTAGATTATCACAGATATATATTTTAAGACTAGTAATTACATTTAAACCATTTTAACTTCACATGACAAGAGACCGCCTCCGTGGTGTAGTGGTTAGAGCGTGGTTCGATCCCCGACCGCGTCGTTAAAATATGGCACTTGTTGGTCCCTGCCTGGCGCTCGGCATTAATGGGTACATCAAGGACAGGTCGGCGCGGAGTCAGTATAATGTGTCTGTGTGGGGTATTCTTGCTTAACTGCGGCATGGTATCTCAGTGGGCTCGCACTATAAAACCAGCTTCAGCCTGGACTAGTACAAGCAGCCGCACATACACATACACACGCATGCAAGTCGTCATATGAGCACGATGCTAAACCCAATTTCACCTCACCTCATATGACAAGACAATATGAAATGAGTGAGTGAGTTAAAATTTAAAGTCACTTTGGCAATATTTCAGCCATATCGTGACTAAATCAAGTTATAGATTAATAATAATTAAAGGTAAATTATAAAAATCTGTCAACGAAGGACAGTAAAACAACTAGATTATCACAGATATAAATATAAAACTAGTAATCAAATCTAGATAGTTTAACTATACATGACACGACAATATAAAAACAAGCTATAGATTGCCAACAACTGAAGGTAGATCACCATACTGGCTACTTACAGTACTTTTGCTTCCTGCATGGACCCTGGCTAGATTTACGGTAACCCTTCAGATGTTAGCTATTAGCTTTATCCTTTGCCTGATTTGTATATCATCAAACATTGAGTCATTTTATCACCCAACTTACAGCAATAGCGATGCTATCCCAATACCCTAAACAAGAAAGTGAAATGCCTACAACTTAGACGTTTCAACACTGAATATGCATTAACCCCACCCATTGTACCTCTTTGATGTGTTCAAGATTTGATCAAATATCGAGGAGAAATTCAGCTTCAGTTGGCTGTTGATGAGGAAAGAGAGCTACATTTGCAGCATCCCTCGGGTAAGCGAACCATTAGTACAAGTGCATGTTTACCTCATGTGATCCGGGATGTGGGATGACAGGACCCCGAAATAGAACTGCAATGCCCATGGTATAGGATAGGGACAAGACCCAGGAGTAGGCAGGACAGAGCCACAAGCCCGGGGTGTTATGAAATTTGGATAGGAATAACTGGGCAGCAGGTTAGGGGTGTTATGAGCTGAGGTAAGGACAAAGTGATCTGGGGACGTTGATGATAGGACCACACCTTAGCGGTATAATCACGCTTAGGTTGGGTTCCCAAAGTAGGGATAAGATGAGCAAGAAAAGGGGTAATAGGGCTTTGGGTAGAATTGACAGAATCCAGATCTAGAAATGACTGGACCCGGGGTTAAGTATGGCAGAAAGGTTGGTTTGGGGCTGAGATGACAAGGCTCGGGCGGATTTGATACATCCCTTGAGTAGTGGTGATAAAATAACTGGTTAGGGATGATTGAACACGGTGATTGGAGAATACAGGGTTGCTTTGGAAGGGATAACAGAACTGGGTGGTAGGGACCCCCGGAGTAGTGCTGTGAGCGGTCGGGAGGAAAACGTCTCGTAGTAATTAACCAAGTTGATCTACTCACATGATGCCAACTGTATCCATCGAAGTAAGACCACTACAACGAATATCCTGACACCCGCCATGTTGAGCAACCAGGAAGTGAAATACCCAGTCAAACTGTGCTAACGGTTAAGTCTACTCTACGTGTAATTCTACGCGTATTCATCTGTTATAAAGGGCGACTTTAGTCAATAGCGACGCTGGGTATTGACAGCAGGTTTTCACAGTCGTTTCAAAACACTCGATAAGATCGTGGGTGATCAGCTTTCACCTTTGTTGTCCCGGTCACAATTCCTCAGAAACACGTACATGCTTTTCAGAAGGATTTCATGAGATATTAGCTCTTAGAAGAGAAAGACACACAGCTACAACTTTGATCAATCTAAGGGTACAATGTAGAACAGTTGAGTCGAGTATGAACAGCTCGCACTCACTACATTCTCATCCTGACCCGTGAAGATGCCGGGGTAGAATAGATCTTCAGCAACCCATGTGCTTGCCATAAAAGGCGACTATGCTTGTCGTAAGAGGCGACTAACGGGATCGGGTGGTCAGGCTCGCTGACTTGGTTGACACATGTTATCGGTTCCCAATTGCGCAGATCGATGCTCATGCTGTTGACCACTGGATTGTCTGGTCCAGACTCGATTATTTACAGACCGCCGCCATATAGCTGGAATATTGCTGAGTGCGGCATAAAAACTAAACTCACTCACTCACTCACTCACATTCTCATCCTACGTATGCATGTGACTCACGGATCCGTCCTAAGGTCAACATCGCAGATGGTATCAGGGTTGCTTCCATCTTGATCGGGTCAGGTCAGATCTGACGACTTATCAGCGAGGGCTTGAATTATTCTTTATAACTTCTACTTTCTTTAACATTATCGACATGCGTTCGTTTCAGAATACTACGTATCTTTTATAATTATGTATGGCGTATTTTCACGCATGTCTTGTATCCTCTGGTTCAGTTGTTATTTCCTCTGTGTGTTTTGATATCGTTTGCTATATGCCAACTCAAAAACAGGGAAGTCTTTTCTGATTCGTGATACCAGATAATTAATTATTGTAACATTAATGTATTTTTTAGATAAGAGGCTAAAAAAGTTCCACAGGACTTGCAGTCTGCAGATAGCACTTGAGAGGAACACGTGACCATTACTATTGAATCAAAAGAGTCACATCCTATACAGAATATTAGTAAAACAGAAGTTGCAATGTCTCTAGCTATCTCACAAGAAGCATCTATAATCATCGGAAATAAACTGAACAAAAAACCATCAATATCTATGAACCAGGACAAAACTTTTGGAACATATATTATTTGTTCGAATCTCAGTTGGAAATATCTTTCGTTACGAGGCTGCATTGAACGAATGATCTGTGGAGGTGTTTCATCGATACTCAGATGATAGTTCTACATGTACATGGTTTTATCTTTTGTAATATAAATGGACTTGCTTTACATTTCAAATATGGTAGGCGCCACATGGATGGAAATACATTTCTAAAACCAGTCAAAAATGGAAATTACTCAGCCACAGATCACCTGTCGCAGGAATGTATGTATGAATAGATATAACCAAATTCGTTTGTCCGTCAACTGATTCAGCTTGTTCGTCATGGGATAGACTAAACTGTCAATAGACGCACCTTTCTGTATGATAACAGTTTTCAGGTGTTTCGATGTTGCATTAAAGTTGTGGGCGAACAGTGGACGAACCATTTCAAATGGAACCGAAAAGATGCCTTTGTTATACAGAAATCATAATGCAATCATTATTCTGCTACCTTTTGAAATACAAAGACAACATATTGAAGTTCTTGTGCGAATTTTCCCTCGTTTAAATGTGGCATTTTTTTTTCTCAACTGGACACATGCTAAGGCTATCCAAAAGAAGGCTATTCAGTATTTCCTTATTTCAACGAATTGTATATTTTCTAAATTTCGATTATTTTTTTCTATAATGCAACCATATGAGCTGACTGTCCTTTCCAACAAGCTTTGTGCCATATTTCGAAAATGTTAGTATGGGATCTGAAATATCCCTACTATCCCATTGAAACACATAGACAACTATGTGAAAGAACAAAGAAAGAAGATGTAATTGGAAAAAATATACTCTACATGTAAACGAATGTATTTAAGATAACCTTATTCACATACAACGCGATTTCATATTAGTGTATTGTACATGGACCAGCAACCTCAGTACAATACCAGCCTGACAAAATCATAACCATTACTGTTTATGAGATGCAAACAAATAGTGAATATACCAGCTGTTGGGGTGTCCTTCAAAGGTAATTGAAGAGTTCCCCTGAACACGGCATGCACGTGAAAACAGGGGATTGCAAAATGTCAGCTTTCAACATGAACCATGTTGAAAGCCATTAATGATGTTCTACATGTTTTGACTAGCTCAAATGAATGTAGTTATGAGTGCCTTTATCTTAGATGAACGTCCTAAGCGTGGCTTCAGAAGTGTTTTGGTTTAACATCTGAACCCTTTCTAATCTAAAGTTAAAGATGATGTTGAGTTCTGTGATTTATTTTTGGTTTGCAAACCCGTTTACTGAATATCGACTTCATAACAAGTTTAGACATTCAAAACATATTCCATCTTCAGATACATTCTGGTCAAAGAACATGTTAATATGTATTCGTTTCAGGTGTCAATATTACTGATAAATGTTAGAAACATATCCTATTCCTCCCACTAAACTCCTCTTCGATATTCCTGGGACACGAATGGTAAGTAACAGCTTTGGCCAGAGAGTACATACCAGAAACAATGTAAAAGGCTAATCAACAACGCTTTTTGCACAGAGATATTTACACAACTGTCTTGTATACTCACGGAGTATGTAATATATCTATCTAAATATATATCTACTATCTTTGTATCTAAAACTACAACGGTTCTTTAAACACCGGGTACCAAGAGGAATTACTGACATCAAAGTG